GTAACATCCAGTTGGTAGCCAAGGAAAGCCTATGATCCAGGTCTTCTGTCTCCAGGCCAGCATTCTGAGTTCTGACATTACAAATGCTTGATCAGAGAAACCACTGACCTCCTTGTTCTGGTCTGTCTCATTCCACACCATTCAGCTTAAGCCTGCACTGAGCGGGGCAGACATTGACCTTTGGTCTAATGAAACCCCAAGAGCAGACAAAATAAACATAAGGAAAAAAAATCGCCCCTTAAACTGCTTGGGATTGGATGTCAGCTCCCTCCGGCCCCAAACGCGCAAGTGTGGCTCCTGTGCCTCCAAGTCCTCCGCTCACGGGTGGAAGTGACATTTACTGAGCATCTACTAGCTGCCAGACGCCGCCACACACGTGATCTTGGGCAGATCTGGCCTCCTCTGGGTGCTCTTGTGGTAGCCGTCTTCTCTTGTAGCATCTGGGCACGGGCCTGGCCCTCCTCCCATCCACTGAGGCTGTCGACCCCTACACCGGGCGGGATGGCCAATGGCCGCGGCGCCTGGAAACCGGTCCTTCTCCCGGGGTAGCGGATACCTTCTGCTCCCACTAAGCCAACCTCCAGAGAGCCTGACAGACTCACCGGGAGGTCGCTGACCAAACTCTTCGCTAGCCTTTCAGGTGCCCTGCCACCTGCACCAACGCAAGGCGGCGGTCGGGTCCCGCCCCTCCGGGAGACCCCCGTGCGTCAGCGTGACGACCCACTCCTACGCAGGTGTCCCCCTCCTCAAAGCGGCCGCCCACCGTCCCCACGGGGTCCCCTTCCTCACCCGCGGCCGCCGCGCCACCGCCTGCTGCACGCGCTCATTCACTGCCCGCAGTGCGAACCCGACTCCCAGCTCTGCCGACATGCTGCCAGCTCTCCACATCCCTGGGGACCAACGCCGAGCCCCAGGCCCAGCACCCCCGGGCCGCGACCACCTTCCGGTCCCGCCCAACTCACGCTCTGTGCGGGCCAATCACCGCTCACCACCGCGTCGTCTCACCCAATCGGCCCGGGCGGTGCGGGGGCGGGGTCGCGGGCGGCCCCGCCCCTCCTCAGCGGCCATCTTGGGGAGGTCGCCCGGGCCTGGCCGCGGGCGCGGTGGTGGCGTTGGCGGTGCCAGGCGCTCCTGGGTGGTACTTGGGCCGCCCGCGAGCTTCTCTGTCGCGCCGCCTGAGCCGCCCCCGCAAGGGACCCGTCCTGTCCCCCAAAACTCGGGCCTGTTCCCGGGGTCCTAGTCCCTTTCCACAGGCCTCACAAATTTGCCCGTCCCTGGCGTTCACAGCTGTGAACCAAGACGTCTGTGCGCGGGGACCAAGATTACAAGCTGCTAGGGCGGAGATGTGGCTTTTAGTATCTCGGGTGATTCTTGCGAGGAACCGTTAAGAGATGTAAAAGAAAGCTCTTTCTAAAGAACTTGGCGTGATTCAAATGCGTGGTAATTCTCTTGTCATCTTTAGACCGGTGCTGGCCATAGAAATATGAGATCCACGTACGTAATTTAACAATTTTTAATAGACGCATAAAAAGTAAAAATATTTAACGAATACATTTTATTTAACCCAGTATATCCAAAGTAAGGTTTCAACATGTAACCAATAGGAAAACTTTAAATGAGATATTTTACTCCTTTCTTATCGTACTTAGGTTCCAGTTTGGAGTATAGTTTTGATTGACAACTTGCCTCGGTTGATACTTTCTATATTTGAAGCGGTCAGCGGCCACTTGTGGCCAGTGCTACCTTCTCGAGGAGAGGCCAGGCAGTTGTGGACAGTCCAGCGTGAGCTCAGCACAAGTTCAGTCCAATTCTTGAGTCTCCTGTGTGCCCAGCTCTGGGCAATGTGAAGGCCATCAACATTATTTAGAGCCTTCTAGAAAGAAACGGCAACATTCTTACTTTCTTCTGTCACGTCTTCCTAGGCCCCAGGAACTATGATGGAATTTCACATGGTCTGCTCTGGGAAAATCACTTTGGGCAGAACCTAGGGTCCTTGCCATCAAGGACTTCTTTTTGGGACATCTGCATTTACCAGGTATACTTATCTGTAAACTAGGGTTGCCGAAGACATCAGGAGTAATTGTGTTCAAATATAGTGTCTCTTGACTTGATAATTTCTGCTTCTGCCAAAGTGATGAATATAAACAAATGACTAGAATAGCCCTTTATGGTGGGAACATAATAGATGTTTGCTGTAGAGATACAAAGCTGGAAGGCACAAGCCAGCAGTCAGTGATGGGGATCAAGGTGACGGGGTGTGTAGAGGAAGGAGTGGGTGAGCATGACATATGTAAAGTGATATGCTATTCGGAAAACATTTTTAAAACTACAAATACCTCATAGAGCTAAGGGATGTATAATCCAGGCGATAGGTCTCTATGACAAGTAGGTGCACCTTAATTTCATAGGTCCTGTCTCTCTTTGCATTACTCCCCCCATCCCTCGATGGTGTGTATGTGTGTGTGGCTCCCCAAATGGCTTCAAAAGAGTGATTTAAACTTTCAAGTCAATAAGCATAGTGGTGGTCAGATTGGGTAGTGGTGACATAGGATTGACACAAGTTGAATTTTGGTTTCATCCCTAAACTGTGATCCTGGACAAGTTACTGAACTTCTCGGTTTTTTCATTGCTAAAATGCAGTTAATATCTCCTTCAGAGTTGCAGTCAAGATCAAGCAAGATAATGCGTGTAACGTGCTTAGCAGAGTGCTGCCCCAAAGCAAGTGCCGGTGGTCAGTGAATGTTAGTCCCCCGACCCTGCTATCCATTCAGTCAACTTTCATTGAGGTGTTTCCCTGGAAAGGGACCTTGGAGGGGACCAAGACGAGTAAGGCAGGCTGTACAGTGGATTCATTTCTAAGCTGCTTTTCATCTCTTAACATTTCAGACCTAGTGAAAATGGGAGTAAAGGCAAAGAGATCATGGTGACCCCAGGCTCATTATTTCACATTTTCCAATCTCTTCTTGGCTATTTTTGAATTAATTTTATTCCACTTTTTTCTCTTTATTTCCTTTTTTAGTTTCTTCTTTTCCTCTTCCTGGGACATCAACCATCTAATTTAACCTTTTATCCTTCCCTACTACCTAATCCTTGAAAAATGCGAGTCCAAAATCACTTCATCACCAGTAATTTGTCTTTAAATTGCAGGGACGAAGCGGAAAAGAGAAAGATTAAAAAGCCAAATACCTTGAGGAATAGATTTTATAAACAAAAGTGTTCTTATTGCCATAAATGCCATCAAACTTTAAGCTGCCTCTGTAGTCTAAGGCCCTGAATTATGAGAAAAACATTTATGAATTTTAAAATTGTTTCCTTCTGAGCTTACTGTGATTCTTTTGGGAGGATAAAAAAAGATAAAATAATAGAAAATTCCTGTTGCCTGGTTACTTGGCTCTGAAGAGAAATGGAGAAATAATGGCGTGTCCGTTTAAATGAGTTCAGGTGGAGGAGCCGTGACAGCAATCCCTCGGCAAACATACTGTCACATTTGGCTTTTGAAATGTCAATACAGATCCTAGAACCCAAGACCCAGGGAGGACCTTTAGAGATCACCTGATCTTTCATATCGGAAGAATGACATTTAAACCGTCCCAAATCGCATAGAATCTCCCCAATTTCTGAAGACCCTCAGAGAAGAAAATGTTATCCATGCTAATCCCTGGATTTATTTTCCATTTGCAGAGAGCTACTTCTCCCCTCTTCAAATTTTAGCCAGTCTTATGTAAAATCTCTTAAAATACTCTATTCCGCAAGCTAATTTCCTCTTCTTTGGTCTCTGAGGAGCTAGAGAATAGCTAGCTGACCATTAGGCAGCTTTTATAAACGTGAAGCTGTTTAATTCCCCTTCTGCCTTTCCTGGGGTCAACCCATGAGCTCTATTTTTTAACTACTTTCTTTCTTTTAACATTTTGCTTACTTTCTAGCCTCTTCAAGTCTTTTTTTTAATTGGCGCTCAGAACTGGGCAATTCATAACATGGCCAAACCAGCTGATTTTCTACCTACTACATTTCTTAGAGGTCTGCGTTCTCCATACTGTGTTTGCTGCATTGCCATGTTGTTCTCTTCTTCCTCTGTGCTCTCTCCTATTTGTAATCTTATTCTATGTTACCACATCTGTTTGATTTCCCACTTAGTGGTACCCACTTCATAGCTGTGTGCTTTCTAGCCTGTTTTTACAGATGATTAAAAATAAGCTATTTTGAACATTTATACATGCTAGGCACACGCTAACACTTTCATGTGCATTATTCCATTTAGTGCACTAAACCCATTTTATAGATGAAGAAACTGAGGCTCAGAGAGGTTAAAGAATTTATTCAAGACCATACAACTCGGAAGTGGTAGAGCATAGATTTGAACTCTGGCAGTCTTAACTCCAGTAACTACATTACCTAATTAATGAATTGTAAGTTCATGTTGTTTGTGTAGTAGGCTCTCAAATAGAGGAAGTTTCTGAGCACCATTAAAAAAACCTGAGAAAGCCTGCACTAGGGTGGCCAGATTTAGCAAATAAAAATACAGGATAACCAGTGAAATGTGAATTTCATATAAACAACGAGTAATTTTTTAGTATGTCTCATGCAATATTTGGGACATATTTTTACTAAAAATTACTTGTTTATATGAAATTCACATTTCACTGGGTACCCTGTGTTGAATTTGGCAACCTTAGGCTGGACAGCTTTCCAGAGTGGAGACAGGGACTTTTTCACTAAATTGATACACAGTGAGTTTTGGGTTAATTCAAAGTATCTCTGCCCTTTGGAGCAGAATTGCAGTGGTGTGTGGATTCTTTACAATGATAGACGACCTCTATATACCTACCAAGAATTACGCCATGTTCATAAATTAACTAGTTATTGTTTCTATGTTGATAATAGGGATGATACTCATCTGAATATATTTTTGGGGCAATCTTGTACTTAACTGACTAGGCAGGACGTTTTATTTCTTACTTATCCTAATATTGACTATTGCTAAATTTCACTTTAATAAAAAAGTAAATACAAAGACATTTTATTTAGCAAGACTGAAAATAAAACTAAGACATAAATTCACGCCTTTAGTGTTGTCCAAAACAATTCTTCCTGTTCTCAAGCCAAGGAAATTAATCCAGCATATCATTTTTAGAGTTAATTAATATAACAAGAATCACTTCTTAGTTACAAAGGGGGTCATTAAGCCCTTGGGGCTCTTTGAAAGTAGAATTAGTTTGACTGTTCCATCACCAGCCTTCACAAGAGCTGAAATACAAACACAAAATGATTGGCTACCACCTCTTTTATAAGGAAACAAGAGAAACAGTGTCTGGAACCCTAGTGAGGAGAACTAAAGAAGTGGTGGTTAGGATCACAGGCACAGAGCAGACATCAGCCAAGATACATTTTATCCTCAATCAAACTTAGATACGTCAGTAAATACGAGCATCTTACTTTCACTATTTACTCTCTATAAGTGGTAAAGTTATCAGTGTTAAAAGATACATGGACCCATAGAAATTGCGACAGATCATTTATAAAACATCTGCTTTTTTGGATCAATATATTGCTAAAATTCTTTCAGTGATTTTTTTTTCCTCCCTGCAAATTTATTTTATTTTAGTCATATAAAAATTAACAAACTTTGGCTTCCTTGCAAACATTCTTTCCTTATATTAAAAAAGTGATTAAAAGCAGTACTGAATATGAATCACTTCTGCAGAGTTTAATGAGTGAGAAACATTCAACCAAGGTGACTTTTCCTTGGAAAATCCTACAAAAAAAATGAATTTTATAAACAGTTACTTATTTTGATAGAAGTTCCATTTATAAATAGCAGCCATGACTTTACTGCCTACAAAACTGCAGGCTGTCACATTTTACATGTTTAGAATCAAATGTTTTAAGATCAGATTTTCTAGTAGGTGTTAAAGAAACAGTCACACAGACAGATTGGCTGGTTGTCCCATGGTAAGGAAAGAGCTGAATTCCATGATTTTACTACTCAGGCAGGTACAGACAACCACTGGATTTACATGAACGGGTACTGAGACATTTATATTTTTGTTCAAAGAGGAAGCGGCATCAGCATCGAGGGGTGGGTGTGGTGGGACTTTACTGAGGCTCTCCTGTGGTCAGAGTGTCCCTAGTGCAAGGGACAAGCAGTGGCAGGAGGTTAGCATTGAGAGACTTTCAAGTTAAGAACCTGAGCCAACGTGCAAATTAGAGAGGCTGAGACATTCTTGCACCTTATTCTGTTGAGGTGAAGTAGTGTTTTCTGAGGCCTAGGTAGCAAATCTCAGTGTAGAGGGAGCAAATACATAAATGGGGGATGCTGGATGTCACATGTGGCTCTTAACAAGTGACTGATGGCATTGAGATGGGAGGAGGGTGAATATGTCTTAATAATGGATACCCTGTGTTGGTCTTGGGAGACTGCCCACGTTCTGCAAGGATGAGCACGTGAAAATCCATCACCCCCCGGGAACATTTGGCTGCTTGCACAAAGTGTGACCAGGACCAAGTTTGAGAATTCTAAGTCCCAGGAATTAGAACAGAGAAGGGCAACATTTCAATTAAGAGGAGTTAATGCTTTGTTTCTTCCTAGGCAGGCTGAATGCTCCACAAACTCCCGACAAGCTTGGTGCTACTTTGGAGCAAGCTGGCCTGAGTTCTGGGGCCATCTGATAAACTGGAAGTCAGGGCATGGGACCAAAAATGAGGTGGGGGTCTGTGTCACAAAGTATCATTCATAGTTTTGCCGAGGGAAGAGGGGTACAGTGGGAGTTTGGGGGGGGGGGCGGGTAGCTAATAACAAGGCCAAATCCCAAGCCAGAGCTTGTCATGGAGAATGCCAGTATGCTTCCCACTTAACCCCAGAGAGCCGCCCTTCACTTAACAATCTGCAACACAACTCATGGGCTAGAGAGGCCGGGCCCCCGCCCCCAACTCCAATTCCAGGGTATAAGAGAAACTTTCTTTCACATTTGCTCTCCCCCATCCCGAATCTCCCAGAGTAACTCAAAATTTTCCCAATTAGTAATGAAAAAGAAAACATTTGAATGAATTTTGATGCAGCCATTCCAACCCAGGGACTTGGGCACGAACTCGGACTCGCACCCACATTGCTGACTCTGGAGGTTTAACATTCACTCTGACACCTGTGTGGCCGCCTGCAGCCCTGGACTTAAAAACACTAGCTACTTAGAGAACGGGCTCCCTTTCCTCGCTGTGTCAGACAAAGTCCCGGCACAAGCCATGAGCCCTGAGACTGAGAAATCTTTCGGATAACTTTCTTCCTCCAGAGCAGCCCCTCAGTGTAGAATATCCACAACGATAAACAGACAGGTGATCTCAAGGAAACAGGCAGCTTGCCGAGCAGGTACCACAGTGGCTAACAGACACAATGGCCCCGCTTCAGCAGCTGTTAACACCCTGGAGTTGTTTGTTCCTCTCTTCTTGATGCTGAGTGGAACCCAGGAACAGATTGAGAGGAAAAAAACCAGATCACAGAACAGGTGAAAAGCTTTAAAAAGAAGTGTGTGGTGGTGACCAAACCCTGACTGGAAATGCAGTCACAAACCACCACTTTTTAAGCCCCAGGGCAGGGAGGGCAGTGGGTAGAAAAACTCACAAACCCCAGCACCAATTCTTGCTCTTGAAGGCTCAAGAAAGTGTGCCTCTAAAATCACCCATTATGCACGGACAGAAACGCCAGGGCAGCCCACACTCCCCGCAGCTCTCCTGGCAAACGCACAAGGACATACTTGCTCAGTTGCTGAGCCTCATCCACAGGCATCTCCCACCTTGGAGGCAGGGACAAGAAAATTGGACCGCATTTTCCCAAATAAGGGAAGCCAAATCACCTGAAGGCAACACCCTGTACTTCTCCCACTCCTATGGACAGCATCCCTCATTAAGCCAGCTTCAGAGGGCTAAAATTAGTGCCTGGAGGTCAAAGGTCAATCCTATATTTAAAAATCTTAACAGAAGTCATATAACCTACTTACCTGAATAAAACCCAAAATCATCAATCCCAGCCCTCCCTTCCCATGAAGGGGAATAGATTTAAGTCCATTTCTTCTTTTTTCACCACAGTATGTGGGAGAGAGTCAAAGAAGGTAGTATGAGCGGGAGGGGCATCCTGGTTCATCGTTAAAAAATAAAGATCTCTGTAAGTGTCAGCTGAGGTTGTATAAAAAGAATTTTCAATTCTCCTCAGGGTCTGCCTCCAAGGGCTCGTCTTCTAAGCCAAAACCCAGCTTGTCAGCCAGCCCCTCAAACTGCTTGCCCAGACCGCCTGCAGAGTCCACGAACATGTTAGGGATGTCCTTGCCAAAGTAAATCTTGCTGTTGGAAGCAATGGCCTTGTACTTCATCAGCTGCAGATACTCAGGGGTCAGCTTCAGCTGTAAGAAAAAAAAGTAAAGATGACTTAGGTGCAGCCAGATGAGAGAAAACTTCGGGTGGCATCCTTTCCCTCTCCACACGGAGAGGGTCTCTGTCAAAGAGATATGCCCTCTCTACTTCTGCTCTCATGGTTACAGCAACAACAGGGTAACCACTTCTCTAGGAGGAAGTAACCTCAGATCTTCAAGGCCAGAGCTGCAAGAGTTTTAGGATTTCCATGTTTAGCACAAAAATTAAACTTCTGTCAAGGCACTTAAGGAAAAGAGGAGTCCCTGTCCCACACAGCACTGGAGGCATCACTTCCAGCCACCCGGGGACCTGCAGGCTGGTGGTCCAACAGCGAGAGCTCTCAAACGACAGAAGCAGACTCTGACACGCCCCTCTTCACCAGACGCCCTGCCCTCACCTTGTTTGCTTCGGCTATCTTCATAGCAGTGTAGCACTCAGCATCAGCCTTCGCCTTCTCCCGGGCCAGAAATGCAGCATCTGAGGGGAAGACGCAGGGAGCTGAAGGGCAGAGGCCATCAGAGTGCCTGGTCCCTGTCACCTTCCCCAACTGCCTCTGTGACCTTGGGGAGAGTGCTCTTTTTTCTCTGTGCTTTGCTTTCCTCATCTGTGAAATGGGGAAGAAGGCATTTTTTCCTATTTCACAAGCTGTTGTGAAAATAAACCAAGATGAACAAGTGCTGTCAAAGGATCTCCCTGTGGCGGGGACTAGTTATGAGCAAGTCCATTGCTGTGCCTGACAACAGCTTTGACAGCATTATTGAGAAAAGCGCTGCCGCCCAGAGACACTTCCTGGTTCCAGATGCTTCCTCCTTTTGTGGGTCCAGGCCTGAGAAGAGGCCTGGGACCCTGCCTCAACCTCCAGGTTCACAGCTTTCCACCTCATCCCTATGCTGCACAGCAAAAGTGAGAGAAGCCTAAAGAAGGCTCTGAATCAGAGGTGGATCCACCCTGAAAACGAATACCATAAACGTAAAGTAGTTCAGTCCCTCTCCAGCTTCATTTCCCTCTTATTTCCATCAATCATTTCAAACAGGTTCTAATTAACAGTGGTTAAGTTGGCCTAGCTCTAATAGAATTACATGCCATGATCCAGACTAACACCTGTCTGGATTAAACCTTTTAAACTTCCGCTATGCAAGCACTACATTTCCTTAATCTGCTGCAACTAGCTTTCTGTCAAGCCGATGCAAAATTTTTGATACGTACTCCCTTGCCTTGGGAATGAGGCCGGCCTCATGTGAGGAATATTTGTAGCCAAACACCTGGGAAGAAAGGTCATTCTGTGGCGGGTCCTTACTGCACGTCCTCAGCATGGCCCTGGGTGGAAGGAGCCTGCAGTCAGGCTGGGCTGCTGGCTGCATGCGGCTGTCTCAACTGGTCTTAGCACCTGATGACATGTATTTATAAGAAATAAAAACGTGGGGGCCTGCCTTGTGGCCGAGTGGTTAAGTTCGCACGCTCCGCTTTTGGCGGCCTAGGGTTTCATCGGGTTCAGATCCTGGGCGCGGACACGGCACCGCTCATCAGGCCACGCTGAGGCGGCGTCCCACATACCACACCTAGAAGGACCCACAACTAAAAAATATACAACTATGTACTGGGGGGACTTGGGGAGAAAAAGCAGGGAAAAAAAAAGAAGATTGGCAACAGTTGTTAGCTCAGGTGCCAGTCTTTTTTAAAAAATACAATAAAAATGTGGTGTTTTGCTAAGAGCTCCCTAAGGAGGAGCCGCTGACCTGTAAAGTCCTAATTGGCTCCTCAACGGCCCCTGCAAAGCCTGACAGGTCCCATAAAGCGTATAACTGGACAGAACACTTTGCAGCCTGACGCTGGGCCTTGAGGCCCCATTTCTGTCCTAGAATTTGCTTGATATAAGGCACCGCATGAAGGAAAAGGCAGGGGGTGGGAATGAGGTGGGGGCTGAGGGGCAGGGAACTGAAGGGGAATGATATTCAGAGAAGCCAGCAAAGAAAACACTTCTCTCCAGCTCCAGGGTTGTTGGTGCGGAAAAGGAGTCTTCACAGCTGGCTTTGTATCTTCTGGGACCCTGGGAGCAGACTTAGAGGCCACAGGTCCGTGCTCGCTGACTTCCGAGGAGAGGCAGGCAAAGCACGAGGAAGGAGCTGCTGATCTGGCCTAGCTGCTCAGTTACTTCCAACGCCAGATTGTGAGCCCAAGATGCCAGAGACTGCGTGACTGCCCTCGTCTTATGCCCAAGGGCACCCAACGAACATTTGTTGAGTGAATGAATGAAGGCCCCCTGAGGGGGAAAATTGATGGCAGCCTGGCCCAGATCTCCCCAAAACTTGAGTTAAAGCACAGAGAAAAAGTGATGTTCCAAAGAAATCATGACATCTTAGAACAGAGATGAAAGAGCAAAAGAAATGACTCTCCCACACCCTTGCTACAAAGTGAGGTCTGAGGAAACAAACGCAGGCATTAACTTCACTTCTGCTCACCTTCAATTTCTGAAATCTTCTTCTCAGTCTCCTTCTCCATCACCTTCTGCCCATAGGTGATTTCTGCAACCTGAGCCACTTTTTCTGCCTCTGTATTAGTGAAGTTGAGAAAAGGCTTAGAGCTCTGATGTGTCAAAAGTTTGACTAAATTTGACCTTTCACCTGATCTGAATCCCTGATGCATGATAGTGGGTAAGCTCAGATGGAGAGCCACTGGCCCCAGCGGGCAGCCATGGTGGCACCCACGGGCAGAGACAGAATCTACAGTGAGTACAAACCACAACATCAGTGAACAGTGATTGGGAAGAGCTGGGTCCAGGGGCTGAGATCATTCCTCTGACGAAAGTGAGGGACCAGCCCTAACCTCTCTCCTAAGTCACAAGTGTGTTTCTCCCAAAGGAATATTTTAAGGACTAAGGCAGTCTCTAAAAAGTTTCGTCCTGCCCCTTCACTTTAGGAGGCAGTCCGGTTTGTTGGTGATAGTCTAGGGAGTGGTTAAGAACCCAGAGTCCTGGACTGGAACCCTGGTTCTACCACTTACTTGCCACATGACCTTGGCACATTATTTAACCTCTGTGTGCTTCAGCTCAGGAGAATGAGGCTGATGATAGCGCCTACCTCACCTGGTGGTTGTGAGGTTTGAAGGAATTCACATATAAGTGCTTAGAAAAGCACATGACTCATAGTAAGTGCTCAGTAAGTGTTAGCCATTATTATTAAGAATTCACAGGAAGGGCTCCTTTCACTTAGGAGGTATGTGGAAACTCAAAGCTCATTGCCCCTGGCCATGATCTGACAATTTCAGCTTGGCTTCTGGGAGTATGAATGCCCCCCTACCCCGGCATGTGGCCAGGGTTTGGAGGACCACATGGTCTAACTGTGCCTGAGGCTTCCTCACACCTTCCCACCGTTCCCACCCAACTGCCCTGAAAGGTATCACAGAACCACGTGCAGACCAATGAGGGCCTTCTTCCGCTCTGTCTCGGCTTCCTTCTCCACCACCTTCTGTTTCTGGGCTGCAATGAGCAGCTTTGTCTTCTCGCTTTCCCTGAAGGGGAAGAAAGTATGCAGCCATGAGGCTGCTATGGAAAAGCTTCTGAGGAACTGCACTGTCCCCCGGAGAAGCCAAACTCTTCAGTGAGGAGAGGCAACTATGATTTCTTACTCTCTGCTGGAAGGTGTTCAATGTCCCAGGTAAAAGCAGACAGTAACATGGCTTTCCTTCTCCTCCAAAATAACTCATTTGTGGGAAATAAGGCATAATTTTCTTCAGTAAAATGCACCTGCCTGCCCACTTAATCGTCTTTCCCTCCCATCTTCTTTGGCATGAGCCATGAAGCACAAACAAGGCTCCGTGGCCCTTTAAAAAGCATCCTGGCTCAAAAGGGCTTCTCCGTGGCTCTCAATCCAGTTAAGGAGCCCAGGTGACTCTCCTGACACGCCTGCTCCATCTCACAGTGCAATGGGCTGTGGCAGATACTCAAGAAGGGGAAGGAGAGCCTGGCACAGCTTCGCTCAGCTCTGGGGCGGGAGGAGGTGTGGGGTGGGAGAGAGCAGTGGGTAAGGCTAGGGCAGAGGTCCACTCACATCAACTCGTAGTTTCTGCGGATTGCCTCGGGTATATTGGGCTTGGTCACCCGCACGGCCTGGGGAAGGACAAAAATAGCACCTGAAGGGAAGGCGAGGGTGGTGAGGGACATAAGCAGCTCCCACTGGTCCTTGATCTTCCCACACAAAATGGACATCCCTTGGAAGAGGAGCTGCGCCTGCGCCAGGGGGCGCTCTCTCTGTGGCAATGCTTACTTGGATGACCAGCCCAGGGGCCATGGAGGTCAGGTCCTGTTGCAAAGCCAGTTTGAGATTTTCATCAATCTGATCTAGAATCAAGAGAGACAGAGAAAGGAGCTGTTACACTTTTGGGGGGGCGAGCGGGGTGTGGAGGGAAGTATTCGGGTAGAGTTCAAACTGAAACGTTGGCTCAAGAATGCACCTGACAGGCCAAAGGTCTTCCCAAGGTAGTGTGATTCTCAGAGCCCAGAAGTCTACAGAGCCCGAGAGACTTCTGGAGCAGCATGCCTACACAGGCCCTCTGCAGAGGTCGGCCATCAGAGCATCCTCTTCCTGTGGCCTCAAGATAAAATCGCCTACGTTGATGAAAATATCAACCTTGCCCAACAGGGAACTGAGCTTTAAAAAGAAAAGGAACAAACAATTCTAGCACATTTCTTGAATCAGCCAGCAGCCTTTCCCTAGACAAGAGCAGCAAAAGAGAAGGTAAGCACCCAGTTTTCATGAAGAAGGAAGGTGGAATGGCTATGTTAGGTATTTTGAAAAGAGCCAAGCTCATTCGATCTAGTAATTTTAGAAGTTTCTAAAAGAAAAACAGACTCTGACGTCAAGGAAAGCCCCAAGGAAGACTATTTCCATTAGGAACCCCATCAAATAACACAAGGGGAAAACGAAAATTTATAGTTCTGGAAATAAGCCCAAGTCTTTGATGTGTTGTTTGCTTTGGTTCTGATTCCTCGGTCTGGAATTCACATGTGAGTTGTTACAAGGACAAGTGTGGGAAGAGCTGTAACTGACTCCCCCTTCTAGCTAGGCCCCCAGAACAGCAGCACCCAGGCTCCCTTCTCTTCCCTGCTCCTGCCCGAGATCCTCACTAAGATCCTGGAAGAGCGCCGAGGAAAAGACTCCACAAAACCAGGTGGATGTCTAAACTGAATCATCTCCCTTATTGTCAGCTGCCACCGGCTTCAGTGGCCATTCTTGGTCATCTGTGCCCAGGACGTGAGGCATAGCGAGTGCAACTCCTGCCTTTCAGAGACGACCAAACTGAGGCCCCCGGAGGTTCAGTGATGTGCTCAAGCTAGTTAGCAGCCAAAATAATGAACTTGTTTAATCACCGTGCTTTGATTGTTAGGGTTTTTTTCTTCAACTGTCATAGCAGTAAGCAAGGGATTTCAATGTTTCCACATATTGGATATGCTCTCACAAGCCTCTTAGTGGCGAGGGAGAAATGCCCATACAGGCAGCACCACATGCCTGATGTGGGTCTAACAATGTGACAGCTGGAGATAAAATAGAAAATATGAAATGTAGTGTTTATTTTTTTAAAGATTTTATCTTTCCTTTTTCTCCCCAAAGCCCCCTGGTACATAGTTGTGTATTTTTAGTTTAGGTCCTTCTAGTTGTGGCATGTGGGATGCCACCTCAGCATGGCTTGATGAGTGGTGCCATGTCCGCGCCCAGGATTCGAACTTGCAAAACCCTGGGCCGCCGAAGCGGAGCACACGAGCTTAACCACTCGGCCACGGGGCTGGCCCCCATATTTTCTATTTTAAATAGGATACCAACCAAACTTTAAGTGAGACGGGCTGTACCCTTTTGTAAGTTAATAATAATACAGTCACATTTATCAGACCAAATTAGATCCCAGTCAAAGTGAAAACTGGTGGCCCTGGGCTAGTAACTTTCCAGAAAAATCTGGAAGAAATATTTTGCAAGCTGGTTTATTACCAAACTAATACTGCTAATAAGTTGTTTATATGTACAGTTATGCTGAGAAATGCTGATGAAGTTATACTACTAAGTAAACGCAAAGAGGTCCTTCAGGTAAACTTCTGAACAAGCGTTAGGTAATATTTTTCTAAGATGGGCAAAGAGGATGCATCAGTGTGAAAAGTGATGAGAATCATGCAGTCATGTTGAAAGTCAGGGCTCTGAGTCCTGAGAGGAGGGAACCAGAGAAAAACCTTCCTTGTTCGAGGGACAGGGTTAGAGACACGAGTTTCTATTTTATGGATGAAAATAGATTCTAAACAAAACAGTGCTTGCTGGCAAGATTGAACTTTAAAAGGAAAAAGATTTCAAAGCAAATACATTTTCCCAGCTCCTCTGTACAAGAAACCAGACTTAACGAAGCCACCAAGTTTGTCTCTGAGACAGTTAAGACGTTTTCCAACGCAAAACAATTTCACATTTTAACTTTCTCTTCATGGAAATTACATGTCCTTTGTCTTTTGTTGTCTCAAATGCTTTGAAATGTTCATTTAATGGCACAAGTCCTAAAACAATGCCTAGAGAGAAAACTAATGATATTTTATAAAATTCTGTCAGTTTGAGGTAAAAAAAAATCAATAGCAAATTTACTGAATTTTTCTTAAAAGCACACTGAATCTAAACTCAATAAAAGAATCCAAACCCTATAGAGCAAGTTTAGATTCATTTTCTACAGCAGAAAAATTAAAAGTGATTCTGATGGTTTCCCAAATCTGAAACCCAGGGCACAAGGCTACTCGCTTGATTAAGATCATTGGCCAATGATTTCTCCCTCTGTCTAACTCCAAAAAATGCTCTCAATTGGGGTCCTTTTTATGAAGATTCCTGGGAAAAATCATCGTCTACTCCTAGTATCAACAACAGGTGTACTACTGGTTGAAAAATCCATTTACTTTTAGCAACGGCTACTAGAAAACTTCTAGCAGAAGTTTAAACAGGACACTTTACCACAAAGGAGCTGCAAGAGTTACTGAAATGTTTCCTTCCCTCGCTGAAGTCAGCCTGTGTTCACTTTGACCACGTGAAACGGACAAGAAGTGTCTAAGTCAGCAAGGGGATGCTTTTTGTTTTAAGCGTTTTCCTATTCATCTCTACAGGTTAGGGTAAAAACAAAAAACCAAAACGCACAAAGGCCCTTGAACGGTAAGCAGCGATGGTCCTTGTCCCACTTCCAGAATTCAGCATGAGCCCTCACAGCCTCGTCACCGTTCCCTGGGTGCCCGTCACTCAGCATGGCGTGGTGGACAGCATACTCAGTGGAGAGCGAGGAGAGGGAAGTTCTAGCTTCAGCTGCCATCCTCCAGCCCTGCGACTTTCGCTCTTTGTGCCTCAATACCCTGTCCTAAAATGAGGATGTCGGGCAGGACGGTCCCTAAGTGCTTCTAGGACTGACCCTGTCTGCGTTACAGGATGATCTTTTAGGGACAGTGGGACACCTTTCCACTGCAGTCCTCTGAGTCAGGCCAGGAGTCCTGCCCTCTACTGCTATTCCTATGCCCAAAGCTCAACCACATTCCCCACCTTCTTCCAGTGTCATCAACGCCTTCCAGGAGTGCTCTGTGACCAGCTCCTGAGCGCTGGCTTCATTAACAAGGGCTGCCCATCGGCCCCCACCCAGCCTGTGAGTAACTCAGAAGTAGGCAGTGGGAGGCAGCCAGGTGTGCTCTGACGAGAAGAGGCTTTCTCACCAAAGAGCTCGATGTAGACCTCTTGAAGCGTGTGTACACTGCAGAACTGGTTCAGCTCGTGGTGGATCTTGTTGAAGATGAGGGCCTTGTCGTAGTCGGCAGTATAGTTCTTCACTATGTCATACACTGGAGGGAAGGAGGGATTGCAGGATGAGAAAAGGCAGGACTCAAAGCTTTCTCAGACACAGCAGGTCTCCCTTCCTGAGGTGCTGCGGCAGACAGTGGGTGGCGTGCTGGGGAAAGTACGCTGGTGGGGAGAGTCCACTGGGAAAACGTACCTGCGTTGGGGACCAGGAAGTTCACCACTTCAATTCTGTCAAAGTAGATCATCACACCACCACTATTGGAGGAAGGACGGACAGAGAGGTCACTGACGGGCTCTGGAGTACAGTGCAGCGTCCTAGGTGGCGGCGTAAGTGTGACTCAGCAGAAAAGGAGCAGAGTTAATGGGAGGTCACAAGGCACGCTGGATCTCCAAGTAGGAGATCTTCAGAGCTTATAGCAAGAATACAATCTCCCCAGAAATCACACCTCCTCAAAATACCTCTGCAAAGAACAAAGTGAAACTTTTAGAGTGCCAGTAAGAAATAAGCTCCTATCTTTTGAATCCATAACACCTTGTAATTAAAGCAATCAACTGAAGGGAAAAGACTAAAGAAGGTCAAGGAGTTCTCAGAACTTAAAAGGTCACTGTGGGATCTTGTGGTCACTGCTTCTCACTTTGTCTTCACTGTCTCTTTAGTTTGGTACTTCCCTTTCTCCTCAAATATTCATTATAAAAAAATTTCAAACATACAGAAAAGTTGAAAGAATAGTACAGCTAACACCCATATACCAACACCTACATTTAACAACTGTTAACATTTTACCTTGATTGAGCTACTTATTTTTTTTAAGATTTATTTTTACTTTTTCTTCTTCTCCCCAAAGCCCCCCAGTAGATAGGTGTATATTTTTTTGTGGGTCCTTCTAGTTGTGGCATGTGGGATGCCGTCCCAGCATGGCTTGATGAGTGGTGCTACGTCTGTCCCAGGATCCGAACAGGCGAAACCCTGGGCCGCTGAAGTGAAGCGCGCAAACTTAACCACTCGGCCACGGGGCCGGCCCCTGAGCTACTTATTTTTTGCTGAACATTTCAACGTTAAGTTGCAGTCATGATATTTTACTCCTTAACCCACTTTGGCAGGCAACACCAAAGGATAATGACATTCTCCTACACAGTCACAAAACCACTCCCAAACCTAAGAAAATCAGCAATAACTCCTTAACATGACCTAATACACAGTCCTTACTTAAATGTCCCCAGTAGTCCCTGTTATAGAGCGAATTGTGTGCCCTCCTAAGTCCATATGTTGAAACTCTAACCCCCCGTACGACTGTATTTGGAGACAGGGCCTTTAAGGAGGTAATTAAGGTTCAATGAGGTCATAAGGGTGGGGCCCTAATCTGACTGAGCACATGCGCAGGGGAAAGGCTGTGTGAGGACACAGCCAAGCGGCCATCTGCAAGCCAGGAAGAGAGGCTTCCCCAGAGACCAACCCTGCTGGCACCCTGATCTTGGACTTTGAGCTAGAACTGTGAGAAAATCAATTCTGTTGTTTAAGTCACTCTGCCTGTGGTAGGCTGTGATGGCAGCCCAAGCTGCCTAACAGAGTTCCCAAAATGTCCTTATAGCTGTCATTTTTGAACCAGGTTCTAACCAAGGTTCACCACTGCATCTGTTTATGTCTTTTAAGTCTTCTTGTCAACCCAATGCCCCACCAAATATGACTTCGTGATGAGACCCAGCCAGTTCTCCTGGGGGCTGTCACAATTCTGGATTTGTCGGAATGTTTCCTCGTGATGGCGTTTACCTTGTTACTCTGTGCCAGTGGAGACCTTGTTCATAGTTCAACCAGACCACTGCAGTGGTGTTCTCTTTGGGTGTCCTGCCCCTAAGGGTCTCCCCTCACCTTTATGACATTCTCCCAGTTAGTGATGATAAAGTCATCTTCCTTTATCAAGTCACTTCTCTGCTAAAAGCCTTTAGTGGATCCTCACTTGCAACAGAAAAAGTCCCAGCTTCTTAGCATGGCAGTCAAGGCTCTCCCAAACCTGTCCACCTACTGTGACTTCCTCTGCTGCAGTCAAATCAGAGCGGAGGGAGCTAGGGCACAGGGAACTTGGTAAAACCACCAAGAAGGGAGGCCTCCCTTTCACTGGCCCTCACTGCAGCCAGCCAGCTAGTCCTTCCCCTCATTTGGGCTCACCTGCTTTATTCTGGGCACCTTACCTAGTTCCACAAGGTACGTTCTTCACCTCGTCTGTCTGCAGGGTGGTCTGGAAACAGAGACACGAAATGCTGTAAGATGGGCAGTAACAAACAAGTAGCTTATTTTTGGAATCCCAAGTGGCCTCGTCCTCGAATACTTATTTGGGTTGAGCTTTGCCTTGGTGAAACGATTGCCCAACCTAACCCTCCTTCCTCACAGGGGCCGAGACTAAACCAAGCAGAGGGACCTACCGCAGCCTCCCTGTAAGTGAACCAGCACAGGAACGAGCTGGGTAATAAGAGTTTTGTGAAAAAGACTCTGAATTAGGAGTCCTAAGATCTGTATTTATTCTACTTCTTCCATTTACTAGTCTTGAAACAGCGAATTCTTTATTTAACCTGTCTCAGCCTATAATCCCTGCTGAGCCCATTCTCAGGATTATCGTGAGACTCAGATAATGTGCATGAATGCACTGTGAAAACCATAAAAATGCTGATGAGGTATCCAGGACATTTCCCTGTGTCGCTTTCAAAGTCCTTCTCTAAATCTTCCTCTTAGCTGGACATACTTCAAAGATGGCTGGCCTGACTTAGCCAGGCTTTAGATCTGTCATAGCTCATTCTATTCCTGTTTTAGATGTCATTTCCCTTCACCTAGTTCAACTTTCCTCTTCCCCAAAATTATGTTCATATCTCTAAAGTTCAAATAAGAACCAGCAAAATGACCATGTTTTATTTCCATCGATCTTGGTAGCCTGATTTAAAACACACAGACACACATACCCTTTTTCTTGTGTACATTTACAACAGATTCTTCTCTGGTTTTGTCTTGAAGTAAAGAAATGATTCCCAGCTGGGGCTGATGGGCCAAGGCAATGAGCCCATTCAGCTAGTTCAACAATCGGGTAAAGCTCCAGAGTGAATGGCTCATGGAGCCTCATTCTTTTTTTTTTTTTGAGGAAGATGAGCCCTGAGCTAACATTTGCCGCCAACCCTCCTCCTTTTGCTGAGGAAGACTGGCCCTGAGCTAACATCCATGCCCAGCTTCCTCTACTTTATATGTGGGACGCCTGCCACAGCATGGCTTGCCAAGCAGTGCCATGTCACACCAGGGATCCGAAATGGTGAATCCCGGGCTGCCGAAGTGGAAGGTGCGAACTTAACTGCTGCGCCACCGGGCTGGCCCCTGGAGCCGCATTCTTATATATATGTACATAAAACTTAGTCTTAAATGATTCCTGGAAAAGGCATTATAGTCATCTGATAGCTAAGTAATTCCAAATCATGCATTAGTCAACACCCAAATCTGCAGTGGTCCGGCCGTACAACACAAGCCAAGTATACCTGCACAGACTTATATGATGTGATGAAAGGGAGCATGAGATGGAAACCAGGGCCGCTGGTGGAAGTCAGCAGGGCACCGCCTCTGCAGAGGAGGAAGAGAGGGCAGGTTCAGTTTAGCAAGAGGTATCTATTACATCAATATGGTTTGGGCCAACTTTCTCTTCAGCCCCATAAACATTTAATATAGAGTGACATGTGCCAGAGCCATGTCCACAGATCCCTTTCTTCCTCTCAGCTCAACCCTGATATTCTAGGAAGCCTGATGGTAAAACATAAAACCATTATTCTTGCTTTTGCAGCGAGAAAAACAGGCACACAGGCTCAGTGGAATAAAGACAGCAGAAGCCCTGGCTGTACTTCAGATGAGAGAGGAAGTCTGTTTTACTTTGTCACATCCCTTGAGTTTGTGGAAACCCATTAGGGCAGTTAAATCCAGTAATACTGTTATCAATTAACTGCACTAATGTTGGAGTCCAGTAACATGAACAACCAAGAGACTAATTTTATGTATGCTTTACAAATCATTTTAATATATATTTTTTGACAGTAGAGTTACCTTTTAATCAAGTTATACGTAAATGATAAAATTAAAAGCTTTTGGGGAGGACATATAAGCAGATGGTAGGGAGAAATAATTACAGGAGAGAGGGGGAACCCAATCAAGACTTTTAGAACTTGCTATTGGCAATCCAGAAATAAGCATCTTAGGACACATATAAGAAGGGGTTCATAAAGACTAAAGCAAAAACTTGGTTATGGAAGTTACTAAAAGCAAAGTACCCCAAGATTTGAAAGTGCTTCTTTGCTTTACATTGTCAAGTCAAAGATATAAATTTTTTTAAAAGAGCAATAAAATAAACAGTGACATAATGGGCTCCTTTATTGTAAGGACCGCTATTCTTGAGCTTGCCTTAATTGATACAAATCAACCTGCAGGCTCTTTCATTTTTCCTGTAATGTTAATTTAAAGAGTAGGTTCAATTAGCACAGCAGGCTAGCACCTCACGTTGCCATCAAGAACCTGGTACTCATCAGAGGTAACTTTGTGGCACCAAGATGCCCAGAGGGATGTAGGAGAAAACAACGTTTCAGCAATGATCTGCAAGGAGCACTGGTTTCCTTTAGGTTTTGTCTCTAAATCTCTCTACACATTTATCAATCACCATCCATAGCACCAACTCAAACTACAAAGTTTTATATTTACAACTACTTATGTGTATTTATGTATGTGTATTTCCCTCCCCATGGTCACTGACAAGAAACCTCAATCTAAATCACTCCCCTATTCAAAAAAACACAGATATTCAGCAAAATCTGCTACAGTGATTAGGAAGGAGAGTCATTTAACAGGAAGTTGCAGGTTTCTCCGTCTCTGCCTTACCTGTAATACACCCCAATGTGTCCCTCTTCTATCTTGTGCACAGCTGAGAAGAGAGATGCACAAAAGAAACTGGTAGCCACAGCCACAATTGCTCCCAACTGAGCCATCAGTGAACCTTTATCCTAGGGAAAAAGATATGGGAAAATGTGTGTGGTCTGACATGCAGGAGACAAACTGACAGCAAGAGCGCCTCACCAGGCTGAGCGCCTTGAAAGTGGCTCATATCCAGCCTGTTGTAGTATGAACACATGGCTAGATCTACAACTCTCTTCAACCTTGCTCTCAGCCAACACTCCCATTCCTTAACTGCAGAACTCTATTCCTCACCTCTTTGAAGAGGCAGTGGCTCAAGCCGTGGCCCAAGGGAGAACCAGTGCCAGTTGGGCAGCGTTCAGAACACAGCCTTCCCTTCCTGTGAACACGAATGTGCTGTCACTGGAGCCACTCATACTAGGAAAGGGGAAGAGAGGCAGCTGCAGTATGTTGGCCCAAATTACAGAGGATGTCAGATGACAGGCAGTTGTGGCTATGTAATTCTGGTCAGAGCCTCCCAGTCCTAATTGCCTGCCATTTCAAAGGAAACCATTATTTACTCCTTTCAGACGCGGAAGCGTCAGAGACAGCATTCGAGCAACAGTTCTAAAGGGGATTCTCCGGCCTTTCGTCCACCTTCCCAGTTATGCCTTTGGCCGTACATGGGGCAGGGCTCTGAACCAGCCTGGAGACACACTCCCTCCCATCTACCTGACACTTTGCACCTGGCAGCTCCCCAAGCCCATGGTTAGAGAAGAAAGGGGCTTCCCCAGGCTGGAAGACTCTGGGGTCCTGGGTGCAACTGCGTTCAGGTATCAGGATGCGAAAGAGGTGGCATCTAGACTAATTTTTGAACACTGAATGATCTGGAAACACTACGGCAACCAACAGCAGAAGGCAGAGTCAGGCGTGCCTGGCGCACCCGCGCAGGGCGGGTTTCTGCCCCCGGGTCCAACACAGCTCGGGCGCAGACACCTGAGAGACGCTTCTTTTACCGTGGCGGCCTCCTGCTTCTGATCTGCACCGCATTCTTTCAGCAAAAGCCCTGCCCTCCTGGGGGTCACCCCGCCCCACCTCGCGCCCTTCCCTGCCCTTTTCCGAGAGGGTCGCGCGTCCCCCACGCCCTGGGGAGGGGCTGGGGCTCCCAGAGCCTCCGCTCGGTCCCGCCTGGGCGCTCGCGGGAAGGGACTGGACAGAAAGCGGCCGCGTTCTCGCTGCCGGAGTGGCCCGGCTGACGGACGGAGGCTCCCCGGTTGGGGGGGGTGCGCCGCAGAACCGCTGATGAGCTCCGGCCCAGAGCCGCAACTAGGCCCAGTGCGCGCACGAATGGGCGGGGGCCGCGTACCAGGCTGTCCCTCCAGGCGCTCCGTACCCGTCCGACCTCCCGGGCAACCGCAGAAACCGCCACACCCCTCAGCACGCTACTTCCTTCCGGACCCGTCGCTTTGATGACGCCATTAGTTCACGCGAGAGGACCACACCCCCCTCCCTCCTTAGTTCATTAGCCCCGCCCCCGCGCTCCGAGTGGTCAGTGTCCGCGGCTGGCCGCCGAGGGGCGCCCGCGGCTCAGTCTGGGGTTTCTGGGCTGGGGTGCTGCGGAGCGCCTGGAGGGTGGCCGTGGATGCTGAGACCGAGGGCGTTTCTTTCCGAGGGTTGATTTTGAAGTTTGCTGCGGAGACTTCTCCCCATTAGGCCAAGCCTGTTTCTTTCTTTTTCGGAGCGGGTACCGGCGAGTTGCAACCATTCTAGCCTTGTGCTCGCCGAGTGAAACAGATCTTTTAAATATGCAGATTAGCGCCACGGCGACGCTAATCAACAATCCCTGCTTTGAATTGCCCTTTATGCTTTTCCAGCAGCTTTGGCCTAGAGCTATGCCCCACAGCACCATAAAGAAGATTAAGAAGGCATTATCCCAATTTTAGTGAACAAAGTCTAAGTTCAGTGGGGTGCGAGAGTGACAGTGGATGAAAGCCTCCTTTGCGCTCCCTTAACATTTAGGATCTTAGCTGCCCTCGTAGGTCCTGCCACAGGACACACGGGCTTGTGCACCTGGCCCGCTGTCTCTGGCTAGATTATAGGTTCCTTGAGGGCAGGGATTGTGTCTTCCCTTCAGGTGCTCGGTCAAAACAGACTGAAGTGCGGTGCGACCAGAACCAGGGTCCAGACTTTGCGTCTCCCGGTTTACGCGCCTCACGTTGTCGGCAGCCTTCCCTGTTCTGCACCTTGGGGCATTACTAATTTAGCCGCTGAAGTCATGTTATTTGCAGAAGAGAAAGTTGGAGTCCGCTTAATTACAACCTTCAGTAAGTGAAAAGCTATTGCTATTACACAGGGAAGATGGCAAGCTGGTGGTGGTAGATTTAGGGCACAGGAAAAGGAAAGTGTAGATTTTCCAGGCACGGCTGCTTGGGGCTGGCTCGTTCTGCCTGCCTGGGTTTGTTCTGGGAGTTTGTGTTGGGGTATTTCAGCATTTTCTGGTTAAGGCCACAAGTGGGCTGCCTGGCGCTGCCTGGGAGCTCTGTGCCCACTCCCATAAATGAGGGCCTCTCCCCACCACCCTCCACTGCAAACCCCACCCTCAGAACACGTGGGTGCACACACGCCAATCTCCTGATTGATCCTATGCGAACTTGAGAGCTTTTTGCTCTCCGTGTTCAGTGATGCAAGTCAGCTGGGCATGCTTAATAAATGTTTATTTAATATTTGTATGAATGAGTAAGAGAAATGGAAATGTTGGGGTTTATCAGCCCAAGGAATGGGGCTTAGCCTGCAGCATAAAGGATTTAAATTAGTTGTAATTTAAGAATTTCCTGACTATGAAACTTTGGAATGAACACTGAGGGGAAGTTCTGGGATTTTGTTCTCTGGAGCCTTCTCGCTGGGCCTGGGTTGTTTCACTGTGGCCCTGCCCAGACTCAGGGGGTGGACCCCAGTAGATGATGATCTAACATTTCTGAAAACCCCTTTCTTAGGAGACCTGTGATTTTTTTTTTTAAGATTTTATTTTTTTCCTTTATTCTCCCCAAAGCCCCCCTACCCCCTCCGGTACATAGTTGCATATTCTTCATCGTGGGTCCTTCTAGTTGCAGCATGTGGGACGCCGCCTCAGCATGGTTTGATGAGCAGTGCCATGTCAGCGCCCAGGATTCGAACCAAGGAAACACTGGGCTGCCTGCAGCGGAGCACGAGAAGTTAACCACTTGGCCACGGGGCCAGCCCCAGGAGACCTGTGATTTTTATGACTCAATATCCAAGGTTACCATGGAGGTAAGTCTATGGAAATTTGTTTAACAAAAGTGTTTAAAAATCCATTTTTTAAAAAGTTAAGGTATAGTGGCTAAACACAGATACCCCAGTCAGACTGCCTGGGTTTAAATCTTGGGCTACCTCCCCTCACCCTGCCTCCTATTAGCTGTGTGACCTTGGGAAAATGACTTAATCTATCTGTGACTCATTTTCTTCGTCTGTAAAATGGGGGTCATAATAGTCTGAACCTTATTGGACTGCTGTGAGGATTAAATGACAAATCAAAAAACATCTGGCACATTTTAAGTGTTCAATAAGTGTTAGCTGTTGCTGTTTTTTTTAAAGATTGGCACCTGAGCTAACAACTGTTGCCAATCTTCTTTTTTTTTTTCTTTTTCTCCTCAAATCCCCCCAGTACATAGCTGTATACTTTAGCCGTGGACCCTTCCAGTTGGGACACGTGGGACGCCGCCCCAGTATGGCCCGATGAGAGGTGCCATGTCCGTGCCCAGGATCTGAACCGGTGAAACCCTGGGCCGCTGAAGCGGAGCATGTGAACTCAACCACCCGGCCACAGGGCCAGCCTCCTGAGCTGTTGCTGTTTTAAATAGCAGATTCCATGAATGTGTTCTTGCCTGCTTGTGGACTTGGATTATCAACATGACAGAAGGTGAGGGGAGGGTAAGCTTAAAGTTATGTGGTATTGAGTAATAACCAAATGAATGTTTATCAGAAGAAGAGATAAGGGACTCCGAAATGAGACCTCAATAGATATTTACAATGCAGATTTCATAAACCATTACTGAGTGCTTCCCATGTCCCAGGCCCTGGCCTTTCTCATTGCATACAATCTTCAGGTCAGCCCTTGAGTTCAGCTCCATTTTAGAGGAGGAAGTTGAAGTTTAGAGAAGTTGAGAGATTGCCCAAGATCACAAAGCTTGTAAATTGCAAAGACAGAATTCAAATAATCCCAAGTCTATTTCTTCATTATAGTAAACGAATTAGAAGCCAGTGATTCAACTTACACACACACCACATTTATTTCATGGAGAACCTTTCAGGAATGTAGACCAATGGTCAGAAATTGTGAAACTTTAAATTGGGCCAGTTCATTTTGCAGTTGTAGATTGACGCGAGATAAAAAAAAAAAAAACTCCTCCCACAGCCATCCACATCTCCCTCTGCCTGGGTTGCTGTTTGTTGGTGAGAGCACTACTCCAAAGATAGAAGAGACCCTTTCTTTCACAATTAGAGCCCTTTTTATACCAGGTTAGCTCCAGAGGAGCCAGGCAACTCTTAAAATCTTTGACTTCAGTTCATTTATAACACAAGAGTGGAAGTTGCTGGAAAAATTTTTTGTTTTTGATTTTTCTTCTTCCTTTGTGTCTTAAACAGAGACTAGAGGTCATCCTTCAGGACAGTTGATCCCAGTATGATTTTGGTGAGCTTGGGGGGAAAAGGAAAGGAGACTATGTCCTTAATTCATAAGAGGGTTACTTAAAACTTTCCCCTCATTTTCAGTAGGGAAAACCAGGATCGGTGCCTTCAGAGAACAAAAGGATATTTGCTTGGGGTTCTTCAAGGGAGTTCAGTAAAGGGATCAAAGAGGAGTCATGAAAAAATAATTGAGTTGAAAGGCAGTTGGAAGTGACCTAAAGATCATTTTGTGATTATATGTTTTTACAGCTTTATTGAAGTATAATTGACATACAATAAAATGCCTATAAAGTATACAGTTTGATAAGTTTTGACATAAGTATACACCTGTGAAGCCTTGACCACAATCAAGACGTGTCTCATGCCCCCAAATTTCCTCATGTCCCTTTGTAATCCGTCCCTCCCACCCTCCCCATGAATCCCTAATTCCTGAACACAAACTGTTGTGCTTGTCACTGTAGATTAGTTTGCATTTTGTAGAATTTTATATAAATGAAACCCTACAGTATGTGTTCTTTTTGAGGGGGATTCTCTGGCTTTTTTTAACCAAGAATAATGATTTGGAGATTGATCGATGTTGTTGAGTATGTCAATACGTCATTCCTTTTTATTGCTGTGTAATATTCCATTGTACAGCTATACAGTGATTTGTTTACACATTCATCTGTTGATAGACATATACATTGTTGCCTGTGATTCTAATCTGACCCATTTATCTCACTCATGGGGAAACAGAGGGCACAGGGGAGGAAGTCTCCAGAGAGGGGCCTTGGTCAAGGTCCACAGTCATTTGGGGAGCGATGGGAAAGCAGCCTGCTACCCTGGGCAACTATGCCAAGCGGCCCGGCAGTTAGAGGTGTGGCATGGCTTGTTTTGCCTGGGATGCCCATTCATTTGATATCTCTGAATTCATAATAACATTAGGAATTTACAGAAAAGATTGGCATTTTGTCTGCATACATCTCTATCATTGATAGATGCCTTTTTGCTGTAGACAAAGAGATACCTTATGTTCCTGGTAGGTGAATCTCAGAGAATAAGGCAACCCACGTTCCATTCCAGGCCAGTCTTTTCCACCTGGATTCTTAATCTATCCCTCCTTTCTCCTCAGGGCCCCAGAGCCTTTATGATCTCCTCACTCTACCAGATCTTTAGCTGCAGCCTGCAGCCTTGTGCAAGTCTCTCTCTCCCTTTCTTTCTTTTCTCTTAAAGCCCCTCTGTTGATCCTGCAGGAGCCTCTAGTTCTCACCTGATTTGTCTCCTTCCTTTTGAGCAGTGTCTTGAACATGTACCTACTGCTGCTGTCTTGACTTCCTCACTCTCCATCCCTTGTTTTCAGTCCTTCAGTCCTTTTCTCTGATGCACTTGGTACTGTTGACTGACCCCTTAATGCTTAAACCTCCCACCCCTGGCTTCCATGAGTGGCCCCATCCCTCCTGGTTTTCCTCCTACTTGTCTGAATGTTCCTTTTGTAGTCTCTATATTAGCTCATCCTCAACTACTTCTGTGAACTCTAGCCTTGATCCACTGCTCTTCTTTCTCTACCTTCTCTTTCTGGAAGGTCTCTTGTGTTCTCAAGATTCTAATTGTGTGGTTGTTGCTGACTCTCCCAAACATATATCATAGCTATGAGTTACAGACTAGAATACCATCTCTTTGGATGTTGGATGGGGACAAACCAATCATGTCTCAAACTGAACTTGTAATTCCCCTCAAACGTACTCCTCCCATTGAAGGCGTCACCACGCACTCAACCATCCAACCAGACGCTCAACCTCTATCCTCATCTGCCCCAACCATTTAGTTATGAAGTTCTAATTATTCCTTGCCCCTGTACCCTTCTCTCTATACAGTGTCCTAGTTCAGGGCTTCATCATTTCTCCCTTGGATTATTGTAAGAATCTAATGTTAGTGATCTCCTTACTGCACCCTGTAGCCTACCCTTAAATGAGCGCATCTTCCACACTGCTCCTTGTGATCTTTGACTCGTACTTTTTCTGCTTAAAAACACAATCACAGGTTACCTGCAGAAAAAGCTTCACATCTCTTAGCTTGTCTTATAAGATCTTTAATGATTTTAATGTGGGTTCTCTGCCCACACCTCAGCTTTTATGATAGTCTGTTGTTTTTTGTGTTTTACTAGACCAACTCTTACTCATCCTTCAAGACCCTTCTAAATGCTGCATCTCTGTTTCCACAGCCTCCTGTGCATCCTTCTCCTGCGGCACTCACTGAAATATTCTGGTTCTATGTCAGTACTTCTCACAAGACTGTAAGCTCCTGGAGGGTAGGGGCTTCGTTTGAGTTACCTTTGTGTCTCCCACCCCTACCCCGGAGAGTCTAACATAATTCCCAGCACATAACTGGCACTCAATAAGTGCTTTTTGATTAAAATAATAAATATCACATGACCCTTTAGGATGTAGAAAGTGCTTTCAGTTAGACTAGCTCATTTGATTTTCATAATATTCCATGAGGATGGTTTCACTATAACCCCATTTAACAGATGAGGACATGCTAGTTAGAGGGTTAAGTCACTTCCTCAAGGTCGCAGGCAGATCATCTGATTGTTAATTCAATATTTTTCTCCCCCTATATTTGTGAATTTGGAAAATGTCAGTGTATCGGGAGAGAAATTTAGTTCAATTCAATAAACATTTGTTGAACACCTACTAGCTATAAGCCACAATCCAAGTGAAGAAAGCATAGAAGAGTGGAGAGACCATTTGGGCCTGGTAAGGTTCTGTATCAGGGGTTCTCAACCTTGCTACGATCAACATTTTAGGCTGGATAATTCTTTTTTGGGGGGTGGGATGGGGAGGGCTGTCCTGTGCATTGTAGGATGTTTAACAGCATCTCTGGCCTCTCTGCCTAGATGCCAGTAGTGACAACCAAATATGTACCCAGACATTGCCAAATGTCCCCTGGGGGGTGTGTGTGACAAAATTGCCTCCAGCTGAGAACCACTGTTGTATAGCAAGACTTAAAAAGGGGACTGAGAATGAGACAGCCAGCTTTCCAGGCATCCCAAAGAACGACAGGTGTGTTGATGCAGTGCTGTATGGCTAAGAGTCGGGGGAGTAGAGAATGGAAGGGGATGCTGTGAGCGTGGACGCGTGGAAGCAGAGCCCAGGAGGAGTTCTGGAGGAAGATGGGAGATGGAGGGGCATTGCTGGTGGGGTCCTAGAGAACCAGTGAGGATAAAAACCACCAGCTATGGGATGGGAGAGGTGGAAACATTTGTATATATGTTCGGAATGTAGATCTTAGCCCATCCTACTGAACCGAATTCCAAAGAGGGAAGTCACTTGTTCTTCAGTAGATCAGACTTGGGGAGAGGCCAGGCTGTAAATCCTAGAGGGGAGGACTTTAATGCCACTTAGAAATCAGGCCCGAAAACACCCATAATGTCTGTCAGTGCACATTTTAGTGTTCTTAAGTAAGTGCGCAGGGTGTGGGGGATGAAATATGGCAGGTATTTGATTTAAAAAGCCTGCACAGATTTAATGTCCTGATAAAATGTATTAAATCTTTTAAGGTTTTAATGAATCTAGTATGTGTTTCATAAATCAAGAACTCTGCTAAGCCGTCTCCTGGTTTAATAAGAGTAAACTAGGAAATTGCTCTGAGCAGAAGCAAAATACATTTATATCACGTTGAAAAGTAATAGATTTTTAAGCTGAGGGGGTCTTTCTGGGCCTTTTAAGCTGTTTGCTTATTACATTGCTCCAACTCCTTCAAATATTAAACCCCAGGCAAACACGTGCTTAACCGTATCAAGATGTGAACTAGCACAAAGGTAAAGATTATTTGTAAGAGAGCAGAAAACAAAGCCAGCATTTCCTTACCCTGAAACCTCAGACCAAGTTGATTTCTGCACTGAAACCTGGCTTTGTGTATCTAGGCTCAAGGTGGTTGGTTAAAAAATCAGTATTAACTGTGATTAAACCTCCTTTCCTAAATTCCCTCATTCCTCTGTCCTCACTCCCCCCACCCAACACATTTGCTGGATTGAAGTGGTAATGTATAAAATACTTTTTGAGTTTTACGGCTGACTGGGGAATGGCTTCTTAAGTTTGCTGGTCAGACTGTCCAGAACAAGCATACAGACGTGTCTTCCCCTTGTCTTAAACCTAAGGGCTGCGATGTTTGCTTTTGTTCCTTTCCCTTCCTTTTTATTCAGAGCTGCCCCCATCCCACTGCTCAAGCTCCAGCAGGGCTGGGGAGGGGCGCTCAGGGGTGTGGGCGTAACAGATGGGTCTCTCTGAGCAGGCTGGGCATCAGAAACCCCTGCTCCCCAGCTTCCTTTGTGGACGGGGTAGGTTCTGGGTGACATGGTGGTTCAGGGGGTTGGGGGAGGTAGTGTTGGAGGAGCAAAGCGGGGTGTGGGGCTGGAACATTCCAGTGCACAAAAGCTGGCAGGGCTTGCGAGCTCTGCAGGGGAGGGAGCCGGCCCCATAAAGCTCAGTGTGGAGAAGCCTGTCCAACCTCATTAGCTGTCATGGGCAACAATACTGATCTGGCAATAAAGGCGATTCCAAACCTGTTGGTCATTAATCACCCGCCTGACAGTTGCGAATGGAAGTGGAAAAACCTCATCCCCCTCTACCCTTCCCCTCCTCCCCTGGCCCAGCTCTGGGGTTTCGAGTTACCTCCCGGTATATATGGGGTTCGCTGCTGGGGGCTGGTCTCTTCCCCTCCACTTTTCAAGGGGCCGTTTTCAGCATGGAGAGGCTACACATTGGCCAGAACCTGGCGGACCACAATTGCTGCACAGAGACCAGGGAGCGAGGAGGTGAAAGGACGTGGCCTCGGAGGTCGGCTCTCGGCTGTGACTCCTCTGGATCCAGGGCTGGGGCTTGGCCAGCCTGTGGAGTTGGGGAAGCTTGTCGTCAGCGCCCTAGCCTCGTCTTTCCACACCCTCCCCCTTGTTCCCTGGCACTCCCTTCTCTCCCTGTTCCAGCCACTAGGTGCCAACATATCTCCCTTTGGGTTCCTTTTTCCTTCAGTTCTCACCTCCCAACGCCTCCATTCCCAAACAAACAGGTCTCGAGCTCAGGAAAACTTTCCCTCTCAATCCTTTACGTCCTACTCTGAATGTCAGCCCCGTGTCTTTTCCCAGAGGCACTTGTCTTGTCAGCCTCGTCCCTAACAGCGGCATCTGGTGGATAGGGACTTTTGGCGATAGTAATGGTTTGTCTGCCGATGCGCAGTCAGTGGGCGGGCCGGGAGGAGAGGCCGCTCTGCACAGGCGCCCCTGGAGGCAGCTCCCGGGAAGTGCAGCTTGGGTGCTT